TTGCTTTTCTTTTTCTTTCTTCTCAGGTAAATGAGCCTTTCTCAGGTAAATGAATGTCTGTTTTAGTGTGTTTGAAGTGTCTGTGTTGTCAATGTCAATTTATGCTTTAAATGTTAGGATAAACTCTGAAAATGTGTGACGTGGAGCATTGACTGTCATCTCTGTGTGGCTTTTGTTTCCACGCATGGAATCATTCAATCCGGGAGCACAAGAGAATATAACGAGCCAGAAGTTGATAATTTTATTCTCTTAACACAGGTGAAGCAGAACTCAGTATAAAAGGTGACTTACTCCTTGAACAGGCTAGGAAATGTCTGTAAAAATATTTTCATTGCATTTCTTGCACAAAATTGTTCTTATATATGAGATTATCTAAGGGCCTCTGTCACTTTAAATCCAAATGAGCTGCTTCTGGCCACGCCCCCCAACTCAACGTGGCTGCAAAAAAATGCACAATTGTACAACACACATCTTTAGAAAGCAGAACTGGATCCTCCTGCATAACAAACAAGAATGCAGCAAGTGGTTTCTGAATGGCAATTCAACAATAAAACACTTGTCTTTTCCAGCAGCCGTTGTACAGAGCATAGAGCAATAAAACCAGCTGACCAAATGTCCTGGAGTGCTGCTTGGGTTGCTAGGTAACGGCGCAATACCCCTCGAACATGACTGAACAATCGAGGAGTTTTTGAAACGTTTCATTTTTCAGACACTAGAGAATATCAACTTGGTGTTTTTTAAGCTGCTTTTAGAAGTGGTTGAGACCCAAATGGAAGTATAAAAACGAGGTCAGCACATGAGTATGGTGGTCAGAAATAAACTGAACCATATAAACCAGCTGCAGTTAAGCTGAGCAGCGTGAAGGAAGGTTGTCCGTCTACTGTGTGTTGTGTAAGGGGCAGATGAAGCGAGCCTTCATCATGGCAGGCCTCTAGCTCTTTATTCTACTTATTAACTTCTTTATTTTGTCCAAATAGCAGGACAGCATAAAGCTGCAGCACATGGAGCCTTTAGGTTCCACACTAATCTGATCCCCAGAAACAATAACAGGTAGGAACCAAAAAAGCACAAGATGTTGCACTAATAATTAAAATATATTTGAAACTTATCTGAAATATATTTGCAGCAAATATAATTGAAATTAAACATATTACCAAGGTTACAGATAACTACATTGTAAGCAAATGTCTGTTCCCACATCATTACAGTTTATCTTTGATATTTAACTAAAATATGTTTGAAATTAAGATCTTTTGAGATTTCCTAAGCAAAGCAACGTTTTGTTCTTCTTCACAGCTCAGTCACATTAGCTAAAGTGCAACAGAAATAAAATCTACATTATCTTTGTAGCTCCATACATCTGGGTGTGGCTCTCTGGGTTCAGGAAACATGAATCAAGGCAACATGAAACCTCCCAGAGCATCTGCTGAGTTACAGTTCCTCTAATCCTGTTCAGCTGATAACACAGAGGAGAGCAGGGCTCCAACACTGCCAGGGTTAAAGGTTTACTGTCCTCTGAGGGGCTTTAAATGTTCCCATCACGGTCCTGGGAGGCAGCGCAAAAGGCTGCGGCTGCCTAAAGGTTCATGTTTTCCAACCATCAGGTTCCCATCAGAGACAAAACTCCAGCACCACGAAGTTCTGTTTGAAATGTTCATATTTTCCTTTAAAGCAAAATGGATCACTGTAAAAAGGATAAACCTTCAGCTCCTGTAAAAAGTACCCGGATAAATCTTCTGTAATTTAATCTTGGCTGTAAAGATTAAATTAAGTATAAACTGTATTTCCACACCTGCCATTTTCTTTGAGTAAGAAAATCTAACTGATATAAACACCAGAGATTTTTTTTCAGGGAATCTTTTTTTCCTCTGAGATTCATAAAAATGCACATCTAGATACAACTATGCTCTGAGACACACAGAGAAAGAGAACTAGTCTAAAAACGTTCAAGTCCTTGTTTTTTCACCCTGCATTTGTTAAATTTATTGGATATTTTTACCCCACAACTGAAAAACATATAGATGAAGTTACTCTTGTTTTTTTCCTTCCTTTTACACTTGATGGGACTCTACTCAGATGTAAACTAAAAGAAATCTGCTGCATGATGGGTAATGTATTGCAGGTCATTTTCCTCTCAGCCCAGCTAAATAAAACTTGTTTACAGCTGCATGTTACACAATCTTTTGAAAAAAGATTGTGTAACATGCAGCATTTGTGTATGTGTGATGAATATCTACTAAAGAAAAAACATTTCATTTTTATTTTTAGACTTCAAAACAAAGAAAGACAAACATTTTGAAATAAAGTGGATGGAGCTTTATGCATCTCTGTAGCTGCTCCTTTAGAAAACTAAATAAAAAACATTTAAAGGCTTTAAAATCAGACTAAAACTTTGCTCCAAGACCTAATCTGATTTTATTCATTATGTTCAAGTGTTGCACAAGATATGATGGAAGTGATTAAATTATAAATGTAAATCAGAGAAACTTCACAGAAGCAGCTGATGAGAGACTTCAGACAAACTCTCCCATTTTAGAGATGAACTTCATCTTGTTGCCGTAGTTGAACAAAACAAACTAGTAATAAACGTATTGAGTTTCAGCAGGAGCTTACCTTCTCCATACTCCTGATAAGCTGCACAAACAACTCCTGAACCTGCCACGCACACTGCACCGTTCATCCGTTTCAAGGTTGATATAATCTGTGAATCAATACGGCCTTAAGTCGCCTGAAAAACAAATATGTCACAGTGGACTTAGGCTGATCGCATGCCATCCCAGGTGAGGACATCATTGTTTTTCTAATGTGTGTTGTACCTATTGTATTCACTTAGCCTCACCCGCACGCGCGCGCGCGTGTGTGTGTGTGTGTGTGTGATGTGAATACTAAATATTCCTCAATGTTCCTGTGGGGTCAGTTTCTGGTCTAAAAGTAATCAGTGCTGCATGGGTTTGAATGGAAATTAATGTATAAGATTTAATTCAAACGATGAAAGAAAACAAAAAGCAGATGTACTGGATGGTTGTTTTTAATGTAATATATCTTCCATAATAGTGGAAGGAATAAAAAAGGAAAAGCCACAATAAAATCAACAGGTTTGTTTTGATCTTTTCTGTCTGACTGCTGGTGTTGAAGTTGTAAAAATCAGGTCAGAGGTAAACTTGTGAAGAGTTTACCTGTTAAACAATATTATATGTTTTGGAAATCCCCAAAAGCATTGTTCAATCTATCATCTCAAAATAGAAAGTGTTTATCAGAGAACCACTCTAGAGGCAACAAGTCACTCTGGGGGAGCTGTAGAGATCCGTAACTCATGTAGGAGAATCTGCTGACTGGATAACTTAGTTTAGCACCATAAAAGAAGAAAGCTCTTGTTGAAGGAAAGCCATAAGAAGTCCCATTTGTCGTCACAAACCACACAGGGGAGTAAACAAGTGAAATTATAATTCCCTGAACAGCAGCTGGATCAGAAGTGAAAGTCTCTAATTTTACTCTGGATGTAAAAATGATTCTTTTCAAAAGCCCAGAAAGCAAACTTCTGCCATAACTAAACTTTATGCCAGAACCAGGACCAAACATAGAGAGCAGCATTCAGCATCTATTCACCACAAATCTAGAACAAACTTCTGGAAAATTGTAAAACAGCCAAAACACAGAGTTTCTTTAAATCAAGACTAAAAGCCCACCTCTACAGAATCGATTTTGTACCATGATAAATGAAACACAAACCAACATTTTGATGTTTAAATGACAACAATCGGCAAAATATAATGTTTCAATTGTTGACTGTTGTGTTTTTATGATGTAAAGCATTTTGAGCTACCTTGTTGCTGAAATGTTTTATACAAATAAAACTGATTGATTGGCTACAGGTAGATATCAGTCTTCAGCACAAAGCAGGTAAGAAGCTACAAACAAAAAACATCCTGGTGGCCAAAACTGTCCTCATGTAGAGATCTAAGGCCAGTGTGTATTTATCAGTTTCCTCAACATCTTGTATCGTTTTGATCACCTGCTGAGCTTCCTCGTGTTGTTTGCCATCCCAGCATGAGAGGAGGAACAAGTGTGAAGACTGAAAAGCTCAAACGGGGATGCTTCATACTGAAGAGCAGCGTTTACCCATCTGCTTAGCAAAAGATGCATCTGGTTGATCTTTTCTACTCTTTAAAGACCTTACTGACACCTGAAAAAGTTGGAAAATGCAAACAGTTACCAAGGTAGCAGATGAGCAGAAATCAACGTTCTTCAACAAGAGCACAAAACTGAAAATTTTGACCTGAAAAATTATGAAACATAGAGTTTTATTAAGTTATCTGGAAGACTATCTTTGTTTTATTTCTCCTTCTGCCTCTGGCAACAAGCTGGAATCATGGTGTCCCCTCTCCATTCCCTCCTCAGTCCTTCCCAGATGGCAGATGAGCTGAGGTAATTAGCATAATTTCAACTTGCAGGGGTTTTATGGAACAAGCATCCTAAAAATCTCTGCGGGAGGTTGGTAATTTGATTTTGGGCAGATTTAAACACATGCAGGTCAATAAATCTAGTCAGTCATCTGGACACTGAAGTGATTAACTGCTGAAGGAGATGGGAAGTCTTCTCAGAGCTCTGTAGGTTTTGAGAAAATAACGCAAAATAAATCCTAATTTTACCTGCAGATAAGTTTCTTCTAACTCTGAACTGTGAGCAGGAAAGACATCCTGTAGAGGTCTGTATTACATCCGTGCAGAAAAAGCCTCTGACTGAAGACATGCTGGTATTGTATGAGAATTGGATAAAGCGAATGCTCAGCGTTGCACATAATCTTCATCATGTCTTTACAGATCAGAAAAAAAGAAAATGTAAGCATTCTTAGAAACAGAAACCTCTTAAAGTCTTTCAAGTTAAAGTGAGTTACATGAATCTACATCATAAAGAGACACCTAAAGTGTTAGTATTTCAGTTTAAAGAAATCAAAGAATGACAGTTGTCGTTACTGTTTTACTTTAAGCTGAATTTAGATCATATATATTATGTGACGTAACCAGATCCTTTTGGTCGTATTTGTATTTAACGCTATGACAGTTTCTGACTTCAGGACTGGTGAAAAAAGCATTTCATGATTTTCATTTCATCTGTTTGTGCTATGAAAGGGCAACTGCTGACTCAATAACTAATCAGATAAAAACATGACATAAAAAGCAGCTCATACAACCACAGGCTTTTGATTCATTAGTGGGAAATAAGCCACCCTGAGGAATCTTCTGGATTCTTCATGAAACAGTCACATTTACTAATGAACTCATCAATTTAACATTTAAATGTGATTTTTTTTTCATGAGAGAAATAAATATCTATAGAGAAAATACTGGTGCAATTATCTAATATCGATTTTAACCTGAGTTAGTTATGATATATCTACAATACTGTTTACAACTGATGTAATCTGTAAGAGTTTTTGGTAACACTTTATTTGAAGGGGGGGTGAATAAGACTGTCATGACACTGTCATAAACATGTCATAACACCTGTCATGAACATGAATAAGTCTCATGAATATTTATGACTGTTGTCATAAAGCGTCATTCGGTAAATTATGACACTTTTAATACAAAGTTGACATTATTCAAAATGTCTTTGTTATGACAACTTGACATTAACCAAGAAATCATTACTGTTTAAACTTTACCGTTAATAACATAAAGTTACCTAATTTTTAAAGTGCAATCAATAATACTTTTATAACAAATTTATATCAGTAATTTGTGAACAAAGGGCATGAAAAGTTAATTTTGAGGTTAAATGTCATGTAATTTGCGAATTCATTGTGCTTTTAAAATCATAAAGGCGTCTGATCACAAACAGCTGCAGGTATAAAGTGACATTTTTTATCATTTCAGCTGTTATCAGATTTAATAAAAGGAGATTTGTTCGTCTCCGATACTCGTAGAGCTTTTGATTTGAAGATGTGTCTGTGTTTTCTTACTGGTGTTTAAACTGGCCGGTTTCTGAGAATGTGAATGAAAAAAAATTCTGTTTTTCTCTTCGACTTGCGATGGTAAAGAAAATGGATATAATAATTATTCCTGGTGATGCTCCTGTTCTTTTACAGCACAAAGAAACAGTTTTTTAATGTTTCAAAGATGAAATAAAACATTCCTGGTTGGAGTTCATCAGTAAGTCAACAACACGTCAACAAACTAATATTTCACAGATTTTTGCTGCTGCACGTTTCTGACCTGCTGGCTTCAACACATCACGCAGAATGAGACATCAGAGTCTTGAAGCATATAAAATAACAAGCTGACTGACTCATAACTAAGATATTTCTGACTTTTAAAGGTCAGCATTAGTTTTCTTTAATCCTCGCTGGGTACCAAGCTCTGAATTAACCTCATCTTCACCCAATTCTTGCTCTCCAGAATGAAAACATTTACAGCTCTTGAATTACATTAGAAACATGGTCTTGTCTGTGCTCAGTTTAATTGGAGATGCTGGTCGACCTTGAGGAGGCCAGGTTGTCTCTGCGCTCGCTGCTCCTGCAGACAGATTTGAGGGATGAAAAGCTGAAAAGCTCTTGTTTGCTGAGAGCAGACGTCAGGAAACAATCAGAATAGGTTATCTGCGGCTGTTGCTGGCTCTGAGGAGCGGGTTGTAGCTGCTTTAGCAAACATTAAAATCCTTGTTGGCATTTGGCTAGTTTGCTCTTGGAAGAAGCTCCAATCTTGTTTTGAGGAAGTTACAAAATGCCCTTGGATGCTGCAGGCCTGTAAGTATCACCAGAGACAATGGAAAACAATCAGTCACTCGGGACCCGCTTTAGAAAACAAGTGGAGACTAATTAGTTTTGTAAAAGCAAGTCTTCATGTACTTACAGAGGCTTTTGCAGGCGGGGATAATCTCTGAGGAGAGGGTCTTAAGTCTCTTTGAGTGTGTGCTTCTACTGCTACCATCTTACATTAATGTGGAGGGTTTGT